TACTCATCTTCTAACGGTCCTGCCTATTAACGCTATCATGTTGACAAGTAAGTTTCAACATATAGATTTAGGGGAGCATGTTCATATCATACCATCTATTATGTATTTCAATAAAGATCAGTAACAGGATTCTAGATGGGCCTAGTTTAAGATTATGTCCTTGTTTTCCCCTCAAATTAGGTCTAATTGGTTTTTGTTCATTTGTTTGTTTTGTTCTTGGCAGTGCTGGTGAACAAACCCAGGGCTTCTGCAGGCTAGGCCAGGGCTTCTGCAGGCTAGGCCAGTGCTCTACCACTGAGCTATCCCTAGCCTCAGGCCTAACTGTTTTGTTGCCTCATGTCTTGAACCTCTTGGTAATTTTTATAAATACCATAAATATTTTAGAGCTTGATTAAAAGTAATTTTGGCAGATCCAAGTGAGGCAGTATTATTAATATAGTGTCACATGTGTAATGCAAAGAAGTGCTCACCACAGTGCTCTTCTTTTAAAATGAAAAATATGAGGACATTTGGCACACATGAGTATAATCAGTCTTTCTGCTGGCATTCCATGAAAAGGGAGCTCCAGGTCATGTTTGTAATATGTGTTTTTCCCAAAGGGCTTCCTATGGCTTCAAGAAACACCTAACATAGCTTTTACCTTTACACAAAAGAGAATACATATTTCATTTTGATTTCAGAACATGATTTCTACTTTAAAAGTTAAAGACAATCTTTATGTTGGAGAGAAAAATAGTGTTTCCTTAGTTTTTGATCCAATGATGTTTTAAATCAAAAATCAAATTGAAGCCGGGTGTGGTGGCACACGCCTGTAATCCCAGAAGTTCGGGAGGCTGAAGCAGGAGGATCACAAGTTCAAAGTCAGCCTCAGCAATGTGGCGAGGCCCTAACAAACTCAGTGAGACCCTGTCTCTAAATAAAATACGAAGTAGGGCTGGAGATGTGGCTCAGTAGTTGAGTGCCCCTGAGTTTAATCCCTGGTACTAAAAACCAAACAAACAAACAAAAATCCAAATCCAAAACCAAAAACCAAAAAACAAAACATACAAATTGAAAGTCTGGGTAAAAGTTTCTCTTAAGGCTTGTGCATGGTGGGACACATATGTAATCCCAGAGACTCTGGAGACTGAGGCAGAAAAACGTCAAGTTTGAAGCCAGACTGGAAAACTTAGCGAGAGCCTGTCTCAAAATAAAATAACAAAAGGAGAGGACTGGAGATGGAGCTCAGAGGTAGAGTACCCCTTGGTTCAATCCTCAGTACCACAAAACTTTTTTTTTTCTTGTAGGTGAGGAGTTATATCTAAAATTTCCAAGAACACTGGAAATAAAATTTATTTTCATTTAGAAAATTATGGTGGTGTGTGATACAATGTGCTTATATACCTTAATAATTTGTCAGTATCTCATTTACAGTACTCTATAACTTAAATAGGATCTATAACTTAAATAGGAAAATACAGAATAAATTTAATATTTTCTCTATGCCAAGCACTGGGCTAATTACTTTCTATAAATATTTTATTCAGTCCTCATAATTCTGTGGGATAAGTATATTTTAAGGAAATTTATTGAGATAAAACTTACATATAATAATTGCATCCATTTTAATTGTGTGAGTCAATGCATTTTAGTGATGTATTGACCAATGCAACCACCATCAAAATGACTGAGTCTATTTTAATCATTGCAAAATATCCTTTTGTTTCCCCTTTTAGGTCTTTGCCCAGCCCTGGGAAAGCACCAATATGCTATCACTGTAATTTTGTCTTTTCTTGAGTTTTAATGTAAGTGGAATTACAAATGTGTAGCCTATTGGAGCTTGCTTTTTTCACTTAGCAAAATGCTTTGAGCTTAGTCCATGTTGCTTACATATGTCAGGAATTAATGGCTTTTTATTGCTGAGTAATATTCCATTGTGAGGGTGTACCACATCAGTTGATAGACAGTTGGGTTGTTTCTATTTTTTGGTTATTATGGATAAAATTGCTGTTTTAGTCAGCTTTTTCATCACTGTGTCGCAGTGGGCAAAAGGTGTGACTTAGGCAGTTGAGGGGAAAAAATAAAGATTGTCCACATGCTTCTGCCCTTTTCAATGCTTTCTTTACTCAAATTACTTAATACAATTTCACTCTATAGGTTTTTAATCAAGAAAGTGACAATCCTTAATACTAGGCACTCAATAAACATAATCAGTTCACAGCAAACAATTCTATAACAATTCTAAGCACTGCAAACACACTTAATCATGACAGGCTCATGGTAGACATTCCCTCTGCATGCTAAGTTCAAGTGTCAGATCAAAGCCTCAAGTCTTAAGCTCTAAGTCCAGCAGATGCACATTTACTCAGACTGTGATGATATGATCAGGAACCAAGGCAGACTTCTGGGGTGGAACTGATGGCCAGTTGAGGAGAGGGTCGTGGGGAGGAGTCCTTTTCTCACCAGAGTCAAGAGACTGCTGTAGAGTTTGAGAATGGTGAGAACAATGCAGAGGATCGGGCAGATGAGAGAAGAGTTGGGATGTCAGTCTAGGTCCTCATCAGGCTCTCCACCTTGTGTGCATCAGTGTCGGCTGGCTGAATGTCTGTTCATTTGCTACATCATTTATACTAAACTTGGGGGCTTCTGACTACCCTTTCAATCCCTGTCAGCTGCTACTGGATTTCTCAGTGATGTCATTTGCCCCAGCATGAAAGCATCTGGTCTGGGGGTCCCCACTCTGATTTTCTTGCCTTTCACTCTGATCATGGGAAGGCAACAAGCCAGAGACTTCACTCTGAGTTTGTGTCAGGGTGGGGAGAAGTGACTTGTTTGTGCCTGAGGGCCACATTGGAGGTCTCAGTAGGTGTGCCTGGTGAGACCTGAGGTTTCAAACTGGGGTTTTAAAATGGAGTTGCTTAGGCTAAAGCCTAAGGCTATCTTTACAGACTATGACCAAAAGACCTGACAAGAACAATTAGAGGAGAAAAGGAATTGCTTTGGGCCTGAGGTGAGGAAGAACTTCATGGCAGAGGAAAGCAGCTCAGGATATGGCAATCAGGAAGCAGAGAAAGCTCTACCCAACAATGACAAAATGTAAACCCCAAAGGCATGACAGGGTTCCTCCAGCTGCACCCTACCTGTTTATAGTTACCACCTACTTAATTCATTCAAGTGGATTCATGTATGGATTAGGTAAAGACTCTCAAAACCTTATCATTTCACCTCTAAACTTTCTTACATTGTCTCACATGTGCACTTTTGGGGGAAACCTCATATCTAAATCATAACAGTTGCTTTGAATAATAATGTAAGTCTTTACATGAAATTACACTTATTTCTTAAGAGAACATTATGTTTTTCTAGGGGTTGTGTTGCCTAAAGTTCAGTCCTTGTCCCCAATGCCAATTCAATGATAAGGACACAGTTTTGAGAAAAAAGGAAAAAGGTCTATTGCTTTGCTAGCAAAGACAAACACCAGGGTAGGGTGGTGATGGTGGTGGTGGTGGTGGATGGGGTGGTGGGGTTGTTGGGGTATGCGGGGGTGTTTCCTGTTCCAAAGGCTGTGATTCTACCCATCAGGAGGAACAGGAGGATTTTAGAGGAACTCTTCAAAGGTTGCATCCCAGGTGTGTTCTGGTAAGGGATCCCAGAGCGCCCTGATGGTATGTTAGGTATTCACTTCTTAGATCCTCCAGCAGAAATCTCCTTCCTGTGGTTGGTGTGTTCAAGGACAATTAATTAGGGGAAGAAAAAGGTGACACTGTCTCCCTAATCTTGTTAGGGACCCGGAGAGGGGAGAAGAAAAAGAGAGAGAGGAAAAAATGTCCTTTTAAAAGTAAGACTCAGAGCAAAAAGAGCTATATTCAAAGGCTGAAGTGGACCACTGTAACATCTGTACTATATTAAATCCCCCCAAACAATGTACCAGTTGCTTTTCATTCTTGCTAACAGTTGGTCTTTTTGTCTAATTAAACACACGAGTGAGTGTATAGTCATATCTTTCTTTTTTATTTGTGGTGTTGGGGATAGAACCCACACAGAGGCTAGGCAAGGAGTGCTACCATGGAGATACCCCCCTCTCCCAGCCCTAGGGTCATACCTTATTGTGGGTTTTCATTGCATCTCCCTAATGTGGTAGCTAGTTTCCAGCCTGGCATCCACTAATCCTGACTTCTGGGTATACATGTCTTTGTGCAGTCCAACTCCAGAACAAGTAAAAGGCTCTCTTTAAGAAGTAAATAATTTTAAATGAAATAAATGCCAGTAAGGAGAAGGGGAGGGTGTTCATTTTTTTGGTTAGGTAAGGAAATTTTTGAAGTCTAATTTTCTCTGTTTTTATTTGATAATCTGATAATGAGTTAATTTAGCAGGCATTCAGACAAATTCTGTACAGATAAGACCAAAAATTACATCAAAATCAAATAACCAGGTCTAGGGTTGCCGTGGCTCAGCGGCCCATAAAAATAAATAAATAAATAAATAAAGGTTTAAAAAAATTAAATAACCGATTTGGGTTGGAATAATAGGAGATCACAGCTAAGGCGTCCTGTAGCTCGTCTTGCGGCTCCGCGGGGCCTCCCTTCAGAAGAGCGGCCCCTCTCTGGGGTTTACCCCTTGGAATCACCTTGCCCTCGCTTCAGGCTCCTCTCCAAGATCTCAGCTTGGGCTCCTTTGCTCGCGAGAGTTTCCTCCACTTACAGGCATCATCGCAGGGCTGCCGGAAACGGAGGCCGAGAAGAGGCGCGAGACTTGGCTGGCCCACACCCGCCCAGGCTGGGTCTCTCTTCCCGCGCGCCCCTCCCAGCCAAGCTCCCCAGGGCTGCACGTGCAGTTGTTGTGGTTGACGTCACTGGAACCCGGAAGTACACCCACCGAAGGTCCCGCCCCCAAGATGGCGGCGCCCTGCGCACGGGGCCGCTACCGGCTTCGGCTCAGTCTCTAGTGATAGCCTCGACCGGGTCTGCGAGGACATGGAGCAGCCGGGGTTCACCGCCTCGCTAGTGGTGAGTGCGGGGCAGCAGGGTGGGATGCTCGGAGTGCCTCAGGCCTGCAGTGGAGTCCATGGGGATTTCCTTCCGGTTTGGCGCGCGGGCTTGGCGCGCAGGTCTGACCTCGGGTTCCTGACCGCGAGGTCTCCCACGGAGCCCCGGGCACTACTGCGGTGGCGGTCCCTGGTCCCGAGGTCGCGTGTCGTGACCGCACGTCAAGAGGGGGAACGAGAGGTACTTACTGTTCTCTGCGCCCTCTCTACTTCCTTTATACACCATAATCACTTCAAACTCGAGATTAAGTATATGCAACTAAAGGGAAAAAAAAGCAACAAAAATACCTGTCACTAAAATCGCTCACAGCACCTCTCTACAAGACTAAGGTTGTCATTTTGCTGTATCTTTTTTCCGTCGTAGAAAATTACATTTTCACCTAATCATTCAATACATAATTAATCTGCGTATTCTGCTCCAACCTTGGGCTTTGAGGAAACATTGAAAAGCGCAGGTAGCTTTTCTGTGGAGTCCATGGGTGGCTTATTAAATTCCTTAGCAACTATGAGAGGCAACACGTTTTGACTTAAAAGAGCAATAACATAAAGCCCTTTCTCAAATATTTTGGAGCTTCTATTTGGGCGGGGACACGTAAAGAAGTGAACAGGACAGATTGACTCTCTTCATTTTTATTAGTTGTAGATGGACAGAATGCCTTTATTTTGTTTATTTTTATATGGTGCTGAGGATGAACCCAGGACCTCACGCATTCTAGGCAAACGGTTTGCCTCTGAGCTACAGCCCCAGTCCATAAACACATAATTTTGAAAATGCATCTCATAGAATAAATGAAGGCCCACAGCTGTTTATTCACTTACATAACCAATGTTGGGAGGCACTCTTGGATATAATGTGGTGAACAAGACAGACCTACTTACAAGGCTCAGGTAGTGGAGACAGAATAGTAAAGTGATTGTGGGGATAAATGACAGGTAGTCTAGGTTCAGGGTATTGTGGGCACATGTGGAAGGAAGAAGTTCCTTAGCCAAATGTATGGGATGATAGCTTTAGATTTGTTGAGATGTGTATAAGCTAGGTCTGTAGAGATGTACAGACATACATAACCACTTCATTGAGTTTTCCAGTCTAGCAGGTGAGACAGCAATAGTAGTTTTGACAACTAACATTCCTGTGTCAGGAACTGGGATAACCTCTTATATATTATTCCATTTAATTCTCACAGACAATTGAAGTCTTACCCTAGTTTTTCAGTTGAGGGAACTGGGATACAAAGAGGTTAGAAAACTTGTCCAAAGTCACACGGTTGAGGTTCATTTTATGTTAAAGCTCAATCCAACCTAGGTGGTGCAACTTGGGGGTTTGTGTCCTTAACTGCTTCCCTTTACTTTCTCAAGTCAATAACAGTAGCAGTTACTAAACAGAGATGAGTGCTAGAGTTAACAAAATAATTATTTTGGGCTGGGGCTGTATCTCAGTGGTAGAGCACACTGTGAGGCACTGGGTTCGATCCTCAGCACCACATAAAAATAAAAAAAAGATATTGTGTCCAACTACAACTAAAAATATATCTAAAAAAACCATTATTTTAAAGTGAATTTTATTAAGGTATGATACACATGCAGGTATATTCTTTTCCTGTCTCTTTGTGGAGATTAAATTAGGACCAGTGGGTGGAAATTGCAAGAAGTTCGAGTTCATTCCAAGTGAAGGAAAAGCATTTTATTCTTTTAGCACACAGTTAATGGTTCTGCCTTTCTTTCCCTCCTCCTCCTTTTTCTTTTTCTTCTTCTTTTTTTTTTTTTAGCTCAAGAGAGGACTACTTAGGAAGTTTTAGTTTTGGGAAGTTTAGGTATAAATGACTTTTTAATGTACTTTTTTTTTTTTTGTACTGGGGATTGAACCCAGTGGTGCTCTACCACCTAAAGCTACACCCCCTACCCTTTTTTTTTTTGGTGGTGGTGTTTTTTAGACAGGGTCTCACTAAGTTGCTGAAGCTGCTTTTGTACTTGTGATCCTGCCTTAGCCTCCTTAGTTGTTGAGGCCATCATACTCTGTTTGTTAATATACTTTTGTTTCCATTTCCAAACCCTAATACTACATGTTGAAAATCACTTTAATTTTTTTTTAATTATCAGACAAAATTTGAGTAAGAATAATACTGTGCCAAATAAAAGAAACATAGTGGTTCCACCTACAATTGTCCCACCTCTACAAGTTAGGTTTAAGCAGATATATTTGTTGGCTTTTGCTCTGGTACTAGGGATAGAATGCCCCAAAGGTATGTTCCCTGCCTTCATGGATTCATACTAGAAGGTAAAAATTAAATAAGGTTGGAGCTATAGAGCTTAGAGGTGGAGCACTTATCCAGCGTGCTCAAGGTTATGGGTTCTGGTCCCAGCATGGCAAAACAAAACCCCAAGTAAAGCAAAAATTAGCTGTGTAATTGCAAATAGAGATTCAACTTAACTGCTTACTGAGCATTTTAACATGTGCTTTTACACCTTTTTTTTTTTTTTAACTTTTTAAAATTTGTAAGTGAACACAGTACCTTTATTTTTTTATTTTTTATTTTTTTTTAAAGAGAGAGAGAGAGAGAGAAGATTTTAAATATTTATTTTTTTTAGTTTTCAGCAGACACAACATCTTTATTTGTGGTGCTGAGGATCGAACCCGGGCCGCATGCATGCCAGGCGAGCGCGCTACCGCTTGAGCCACATCCCCAGCCCCCCTTTATTTTATTTTTATGTGGTGCTGAGGATCAAACCTAGTGCCTCACAAGTGTGAGGCAAGTGCTCTACCACCGAGCTACAATTGCAGCCCCTTACAGCTTTTTTGTAACTGAATTTATAACACAGTTTGGTGTTTAACTTTTTGAAAATTAACTTATAAACTCAAATCCTAGAATCATAAAACAATGTGAACACTAGTATTTCTCTAAGGTTTTTGAGCATTGCATGATTTAGGTTTTCTTTTGCATCAGCCAGTGGATGATTTTTGTCTAGAGAGCCAACTTTGAGGAGAGTTTTTAATTCATCATTGCAAATGAAAGACTTGTACTCTTCAGTCTTTGGTAATGTATTCTATGTGTATGTGTTTGTGTGTGTGTGTGTGTGTGTGTGTATTTTAATATTGGCATGTCAGGTTGGTATTAGTAAGCTTTTAAGAATAATTATAGTCACAGAATTCTAAAGAGAATGTATATTTATTTTGAAAATTGTTTAAGGGTCAGGCATTTTGCTGAGCTTATAATAGGTTCACTTATTTGTTTTTATTCTCATTTCACCTTAAAGTAATTCTAGTGAAGCATAGACAATATTTTCCTCATGTTTAGAATGAAGATAATATTGGCTTAGAAAAGTTCCTAAGGAGACTCCAGTTGAGATTGTCTTTCTGATGCCAAACTTGGCTCTTAGGCAATATTTGACCCCAGTTGAGATTGTCTTTCTGATGCCAAACTTGGCTCTTAGGCAATATTTAATCTGAAAGAATTTCTAGAGAAATAGAAGAATATTCAACTCAGAGTCTAGAAGTATTATTGCATTCTTGAGAACAGCCTCACTAAACAAAACTGAACTCTGCACAGCCCTTTTAAATAGGAGGTGCTGATAAACAGGATTTCTGGAAAAGTCTCCCGAAATACACCGTAAAGCTGTCCTTGTGGCTGGGGAATGCTAAGAAGAATAGCAGCAGATGGATAACACTGGCTTTCAGTTGTTGTAACTGCTGTAGCAGGCCAGAACACGTAGAACTACATAGTGATCCGCTGTGGTTTTTCTTCTGTTGAACACTCAGTCTTTTTATAAGGTGTTAGCTTATCATCTTCCAGTTCCATTTGGGAAGCCCTGCTGTGTAAATGATGCTGGGTTAGATATTTAGGAAGACAGAGGTGCACTCTGAAGGATTTTCATGCAGAACATCATGGTTAGAACTAAAGTGAGATATAAGCAAAATTATGTGGAGTCAGGGAAGTAGCATTTAATTCTGTCTGGGAGATTGGGAATGGCATTATGAGCAATGTGGTATTTGGTTGCAGCCATAGGAATGACAGGATTTTTTTTCTTTCTTTTTGCAACTGTACCAGTGTATTTTATTTTATATTTATTTATTTGTTCTTATTTATATACAGCGGAATGCCTTACAATTCTTATTATACATACTGAGCACAATTTTTCATATCTCTGGATGTTTACAAAGTATATTCACACCAATTTGTGTCTTCATATCTGTACTTTGGATAATAATGATCATCACATTCTGCCATCATTTATAACCCCATGCCTCCTCCCTTCCCCTGTCTAGAGTTCGTCTATTCCTCCAATGCTCCCTCTCCCTATCCCACTATGGATTAGCCTCTTTATATCAAAGAAAACATTCAGCATTTGTTTTTTTGGGATTGGCTAACTTCATTTGCATTATCTTCTCTAACTTCATCCATTTACCTGCATATGCTGTGATTTTATTCTCTTTTATTGTGAGTAATATTCCATTGTGTATATATGCCATATATTTTTTTTTTCCATTCGTCTAGTCTATTGAAAGGCATCTAGGTTGGTTCCACAGTTTAGCTATTGTAAATTGTGCTGCTATAAACATCGATGTGGCTGTGTCCCTGTAGTATGTTGTTTTTAAGTCCTTTGGGTATAGACTGAGGAGAAGGATGGCTGCGTCAAATGGTGATTCTATTCCCAATTTTCCCAGAAATCTCCATATTGATTTTCCTATTGGCTGCACAAATTTGCAGTCCCACCAGTAATGTATGAGTGTACCTTTTTCCCCACATCCTTGCCAATACTTATTATTGTTTATCTTCATAATAGCTGCCATTCTGACTGGAGTGAGATGAAATCTTAGAGTAGTTTTGATTTACATTTCTCTAATTGCTAGTGATGTTGAACATTTTTTCATACTTTTGTTGATTGATTCTATATCATCTTCTAAGAAGTGTCTGTTCAGGTCCTTGGCCCATTTATTGATTGGGTTATTTGTTTTTTTGGTGCTTAGCTTTTTGAGTTCTTTATATATCCTAGAGGTTAGTGCTCTATCTGATGTGTGAGGGGTAAAGATTTGCTCCCAAGATGTAGGCTCTCTGTTCACCTCACAGATTGTTTCTTTTGCTGAGAAGAAACTTTTTAGTTGAGTCCATCCCATTTATTGATTCTTGATTTTAATTCTTGTGCTACAGGAGTCTTATTAAGGAAGTTGGGGCCTAATCCCACATAATGGAGATTAGGGCCTACTTTTTCTTCTATTAGATGCAGAGATTCTGGTTTTATTCCTAAGTCCTTGATCCATTTTGAGTTGAGTTTTGTGCACGGTGAGAGATAGGAGTTTAATTTCATTTTGTTGCATATGGATTTCCAGTTTCCCAGCACCATTTGTTGAAGAGGCTGTCTTTTCTCCAATGCATGTTTTTGGCACCTAAAGCAATCTTTTAGCAGGAAGAGTGAAGCAGGTGGCATCACTATACCAGGCCTTAAACTATACCACAGAGCAATAGTAACAAAAATAGCATGGTATTAGCACCAAAACAGACTGGTGGTAGACCAATGGTACAGAATAGAGGACACAGAGACTAACCCACAAAATTATAGTTATCTTATGTTAGAGAAAGGAATGGACAGGATTTTGATAGGTGTGTGTGTACCGGCGAGTAAGGGGAATGGGGGCAGGTAGGGCAAGACAGGAAAGTGATCTGCTGGATGCAGTAGGTGGGCAACAGGAGGATAGGACAGCATTCTAGGCTTAGAGAGAAACCTAAGTGGAGTACAGAAATGAGAGGTTTCAGGCTATGTTGGGGAAGCAGAGTAGTTGGATTGAATGAAGCCCCAAGTTCTATAGCAGAGTGCAGAAAGTAGCTGGAGAGGAGGTAGCTCAGGGTCTGTGAAGGGAAGTTTGGTTATTTCTGCTGAGTACCTACTGAGTATCAGTGAATTTGGGACTCTTTTTTTTTTGAAAGGTGGAAGTATTGATTTCAAATGTCCTTTCTTTTAAGCAGATGTTTGTAATATTCAATTCATAATTACAAAATATGAGCAACATAAAAAATTAACAAGTTAACAATAATACCTCTTGTCCCAAATCTCTTTCCACAGAGGTAATAGCTTCCAGCAGTTTGTGTGTGTTTTCAGATTTAGTTATTCCTGTGCAGAGTTATATGTGTTCTTAAGGGGGGATTATACAGCACATATTCTATATCTCACTTAACCTCAAAATACAATATGTATGTCAGTGCTAGTGAATACATATCCACCTTGTTCTTTTAAAGACAATGTAGCAATTCGTTATTTGGATATAACATTGATTTAATATGACTCCTGTGGATGGACATTTAGATTCTTTTACTTTTTTTTTTTGAGATGTAGTCTTGCTGTGATTTCCAGGCTGGACTAGAGGGGACAAGGAATGCTGTGGGGAGAATGCCTGGCGAATGCAAAGATCGTAGGAAGCAGCAGTTTTGCTCTGAGGAGGGTGGTGGTGGGTGCTTCAGATCTGCTGGCTTCTCAGTTGTGGAGGAAGGGTCCCCTGAGCAGCCTGGTTCTTCTTGCCTGTCGTGTTAGGCTGATGGCCTGTGTTGATTTTACTTAAAGTACACAGTTTCATTTTGTTCAGAGGTTGAGCAGTGATGATCTCCTGTCCCTGGTTTTTGTGTGTCAGCCTCCTCTTGAGAAAAAGGCTTTTTAGCATAAAAATCTAGATCTTTTAAAATTTCCAGTAATTTCAAAGCACTAATTAAATACTTCTTCTCTATAGCCTGGCAGGACTATTTACATTTATTAACTTAAGGTAGGGCGTGTAATTTATCCATGTGTATGATTTTAAGATCTTGATAACTTGTTGTGCTTATCAGAGTTTATTGGTTATCTGGGTTATTTGGTTTCTTTGGACTTTTTCTAGTTTTTAATTTACGATTTTTAGTGTAAGCTACTGTAAGTCTTGACACTAACAAGTTGCCTGATAACTTTTGGATAAATAATCATGATAAAATAAACTTCTCAGACTACAGAACAATGGAATATACCGATTTCTTTATAATCCAGTTGATGTTGGCTAGTATGATCAAGTATAAAACAATATTGATGTAAAATTAGAAGCACTTCATCAAATATTTGTTTAAATCTTAAATATGTTGTGTGGTTGAAGATACAGGCCTTCTTCAGGTTCTGGGTTAGCTGTTCTGTTTCTGTTTTTCATTCTCATGAATTTAAATGACACTAGTTAAAGAAGCTTGAAATCCACAGAAGCAATTAGTACCTTGATTAATGTTACACTAGATAAGTAGATTGAATCTGCTCATTTTATTCTTAGAAGACAAGAATTCTGATGAAAATGCGTTAGAGAAATCAATGCATGCAAAGCATCCAAGTAGATTAAAAGACTAACGTATTGATTAAAACTGAGAAACAGATACTACTCATCTCACTAAGCCCTCTCCTAAGGTGAAAGAGAAAATCAGAATAAAGCCCGGCATGTTTTCAAAGAATCCACTTGTAACAGACCATCTCATCATATTTTATTCTTTCCATGTTTTAAGAAAATTAAAAGGCAGGCAAAATATTTCATTTACTTATTGAATTTTATAAAAAAATCTCTAAGAACAAGTGACAGGAGCATTGAAAAGGTGGCCTTTCAACTTTTTTTTTCATTACCTCTGAATCTTTTTACCAGAACTGAGAAAGGCAACCATTATATCCTGAAAGAAAAAATCCCATACCCCTGGTTATTCTTCTCTCTCCCTCTCTCTCTCTCTCTCTTTCTTTCTTTCTTTCTTTCACGAGGGTCTTGCTTTGTTGTCCAAGGCGACAAAGTCCCAGAACTGGAACTGTAGGTGCACACCAGGCCCCCCAGGTGGTTGGTCTATTAGTACTGTGTGTAGCTCTCTCCTGTGCTCTTTGAATGACTGGTTTCCCTTTCAGGTCTTGTGCCAGGCAGACTTTCATGGTTTTTGAAGTTCCTTCTTGTCTTCCAGAATAATTGTATAGTACTGCAGTATTAATAGTATGGTGTCAACTTTTCTAGTGTAAACTAATTTTTAATAATTTACTCATGTTAGTTGATTAAGAAATAGGCCTTATTGGATTTCTCATCAGTCATTTTTCTAGTTAAGTCTTGGAGTGGCTTTATGGTGAATGGCCGGTAAAGCAGATTTAAAAAAAATTTTTTTAGTTGTTGATAGATCTTTATTTTATTTATTTATGTGGTGCTGAAAATCAAACCCAGTGCCTCATACCTGCTAGGCAGGTGCTGTATCATTGAGCTATAACCCCGGCCCAGGTTAAGCAGATATTGTTTGCTTGGTACCAAGCTTTATAACCACTTGAGTATTTAGTAAACTCAAAAATGGAAAAAACTAAATTTGAATTTTGCCTGTGTGTTTGACTAGTTCTGATTTTTCTTTCTTTCCTTTTTTTTTTTTTTTTGGTTACTGGGTATTGAACCCAGGAGTAGTCTATCACTGGGCCTCATCCCTAGCCATTTTTATTTTTTGAGACAGGGTCTTGCTCAGTTGCTTAGAGTCTCACTAAGATGCTGCAGCTGGTCTCAAACCAGCCTGCTTCAACCTCTTGAACTGTTTGGATTACATGTGGGAACCATCACACCCAGCTTGATTTTTTTGTTTTTTTTAATTTAATGTTGTGGAGTGTATAGTTTTTAAATATATATTTTTATAGTTTGAAGAGGTAATACATTCACTTGGTTCAGAATTCAAAAGAAAGGAAAAGTTAGCCATTCAGTTAAATTCTGTGTAGGAATACTGAGTTTCCTCTTTATTTCTCTTCTGTCTGCTTACTGTAATCTGATTTTGATTCACATCTGTAAATGTTGCCTTTAGAATATCTAAATAATATCTATTCTGACCTATCTTTGTGTTCATATTTTTTGAAATTTCATTTTTCTTCCACTCAAGTATAATAAGTTTTAAAATATTCTACATATATTGCATTATAATCATGAGATACAAACTTAGTTTTTAATCAGCTTAATTTGCAGCTTCTGTATAGCAGCATGATATTTCTCGGGAGATGACTAGCTCAGGCCAATTTTTTTTAATTGATTTACTCACTTAATTTTAAAATGATCAGTGAATTTTTTAATATAATAAACAATAAAAAGTACTATATGGATCCTTAGATATGTAATTCTTAAAATACAGATCTAGATGAATAAAGATTTGGAGCTATTTCAGAAAACAATCTTAAAAAAACCCCTTAATGCAGATTGACTACTTACTAAGCTAAAAAGACAAAAATATAACATTGGGTCTGATATGGAAAGGTCACCAAGATAAATTGTGAGATGAAAGAAAGCGCAGAGTAGTGCATATTGTATACCATCTTTTGTTTTTTAAAAAAGGAAAAATAAAATGTTTGTTCATATTTGCTTTTGTGTGCCCAAGGTAACTTGAAGTATACAACAGGAAACCATTAAAAGCAAATGAGTAGGAGACTGAACTCTTTACCTTGCTGAGTTTTTTTTTTTCCCTTCCTTTTGTGGCTTTAAAAATTTTTTGAGTATATTAAAATAAATGTTAAATTTGTTTTAAAAAATAAATTTAAATAATACAAATTTTAAAAAGAAAATTTAATATAAAACAGTTTGCAAGTTTAGTACATTTTTTGTTATTTTCCTAGGAAAATCTCTAGAGTAGAGATAGAAAGTCCTTGGATTTTTTGCAAAGGTTTGTGAACTGAAAGGTACAAGAAATGTGTTTAAATACTACCTCCTTCTTCCTCTTCCTGCCCCTAAATGGCAGAGGCCTTATTTTATTGTAACCTTTTTTTCTTTTTCTCCCCTCCCCTCCTTTTTTTTTTTGTTTTTAAAGGCTGGTGGGGTAGCAGGTGCCTCTGTTGACTTGATATTATTTCCTCTGGATACCATTAAAACCAGGCTGCAGAGTCCCCAAGGATTTTATAAGGCTGGTGGTTTTCGCGGAATATATGCTGGTGTTCCTTCTGCTGCTATTGGATCCTTTCCTAATGGTAAACATGACATTGATATTCTTACTGCTATAAAGCCAAGATAATAGGATTTATTTTCAGAATGGTATGAGGGGATACATAGTTCCTTCTGTGTTGTAACTAATCTTCTGATTTTATTTTCCATTGTTTAACCCACAATTTTTGAATAGGTAGCACTGGGGATTCCCTTACAGTATCTTTGTAATAGAAAAACAATTTCCCAGCGACTCAGGAAGCTGAGGTAGGAGAATCACAAGTTTGAGGCCCACGTGGGCAACTTAGCAAGGCCTTGACTTAAAGTGAAAAAGGGTGGAGATGTAGCTCAGTGGTAGAGCACCTCTGAATTTAGTCCCCAGTACAGAGAGAAACAGGAACAACCTTGCTTGCATATTGGAATCTCCTGGGCTTTAAACAATACTGATGCCTGTGTTTCACCCTCAGAAATAAGTTCTGGGTCTTGTCTGACAATCAGCAGTTTTTGTTAGCTTCCCAGGTGATTCTAGTATGGAGCCAAGTTGGATAACTTGGACTCGCCTGATCACTGAAGAGTTTAAAATACTTGGAGATTCTTGTGTAGCAGGTGAGCTCAATCTTTTAGTCTTTTAATTGTACTTAGATGATGCAGGCGTTTTTTACAGGCTTCCACCTGATATTCTGATTTCAGCATCTTTTTTTTTTTGTACCGGGGATTGAACTCAGGGGCACTGAGCTACATCTCCAACCCTGTTGAGTATTTTATTTGGAGACAGGGTTTCACTGAGTTGCATAGCGCCTTGCTTTTGCTGAGGCTGGCTTTGAACTTGCGATTCTCGTGTCTCAACCTCCTGAGCCGCTGGGATTACAGATGTGCAGGTGTGAGCCACTGCTCCCCGCTTTCAGCATCTTTGTTTTGGTTTTGAAGTCATGTGACTTATGGCCCTCTTATTCTGCAACAGTATAATCTGTTTTATGGAATCTACTTCTTGGTACATGTCTTGCTGATACTTTTCTCATTTCAGTTGTTTATTTTGCAGTGCTGAGGATTGAACCCAAGGCCTCATGCATGCTGAGCAGGTACTCTGCCACTGAGCCACATCCCTAGCTGGTGATGAATGCTTCTTGTGGCACTGAAAATAAACTAAACCAATAATAACAAAAAGGCACACAATACACATCCATAAAATCACAGTCCTAGAAGATTCTTAAATTCTGGGTTTTGATTTATTTTTTCAGGATAATTCATAAGAAATTTTTCCTCTTAGGTTAATCTGACCTTTAAGTGCCAGATCTGTGAGCATATCATTCACATAAAGATTGTACCACAAATAATAGTATTTCTGTCCTTTTGTTTATTACTTCCCCTTCTCCTCGCCCTGCAGCCTGTTGAACAGCAAGCTGTTTTGGGTTTATATTGACTTTTTGTATGCCTTAATACTTTGAGTAATTGGTTATAACAAGTTATTATTGAGCACCTATTCCATGTCAAGCATGGCTCTAAGGGTGTGAGGGGCATGGATATGTCCCAAGTTTGTCTACATTGGACTCACCTGATCATTGAAGAGTTTAAATACTGATTCCTGTGGCTTACCTCAGAGATTATGATTTAATCCATCTGAGGTATGTCCTGGTCATTGGTGGTTTTAAAAAATTCCAAGGCAATTCTAATATGCAGACAAATTTAAAAACCTTTGAGCTAGGGAATTGTACAGGAATATGTCACTAAGTCCCCATTTTTTGGTCACAGATTTATTTGGTTTTCTCCTTCACCTATACTCATTGTTCTTTGGATCTTTGTCTCTTACATATTACACAAAAACATTCCTGTGGGTTAGGTATAGTATTAGTTGTAGTCTTAGAGTATATGATGCTGTCTCAATGATCACAGGATTATTTTACATTCTTTACTGAGGATTTACATACAGAATGTGGTTTTGAACTTGTGTGTGGGGGTGTGTGTGCAGAATGGGGGCAGTGGTATCTTTTTTGCCTTTCTTGCTTTTTTTTGCCATCCACACAACTTCAGCAGATGGAGGGTGCAAGAGAAGTCAAAGCTTTTTTTTTTTTATTATTCTTTTGCTGTCTTCCTACAGATTTTGAATGAATTGCATTTTCCTTTCTGCTTTCTTTTGTCTTTAACTGTTGGTTAAGGTTCTAGTCTAGGTACAGAATGCCACTGTAATCTTCAGAGCTGAGGGGTTGGCATGGAGGGGACAGAAGATTGAAAGACCCATATCGAAGGCCCACATTTAGGAGCCTTATTCCCTTTATTTTTATTAATTTTTTTAGGTGTAGATGGACACAATAGCTTTATTTATTTTTATGTGGTGCTGAGGATCGAACCCAGTGCCTCACACTTGTGAGGCAAGTGCTCCACCACTGACCTACAGCCCCAGCCACCTTATTCCCTTTTTAATAGCACATGTAAAGAAAGTATGGAATGTTTTTTTTTGCTGGGGGCGGGGGATGGGCTAGAAGAGACTCTTATCAGATAGCCCATTTCTCCTTGTTTGATTACTTGCTCTGGTCCTCATTTGGAATTTTATTGTGCCATCATTTTTCATCAGTGGAGTCTTTTTTGGATGCTGTGCACTTGGGGACAGGGGTTGGAGGTTACAGACCTAAAAGACATGAAGTATCACACAAGTAGTCACAAAATTGGGCAAGCTTGAGGCAGCTGACCATGAAACTTAGGAAGTTTTAGTACTTTCTTCCTTTGCCTTGGGGTGGGTATAGAGATGCTAGTAGCTGCAGAACGTACAGCTGAATGCCATCAGGGATATTGTAGTGGGCCAAAGTGTGACAAGCTGTATGAAGAACACATGGGAACAGGCCTGTGTTAACTGTGCCAGGTCCCTGAATTGGTAGTGACTTCTGTGGACTGCGGGCCTGCATATTTCTTGGCAGCCTCAGATCACTGAGTTTTACTATCAGGCAGTTTTTCTGAGTGTTTCAGACTTGGCTGATATATTCTAATGTCCTTCAAAAGATGAATTTGTGATTCCTTTTTCTTTCATTCTTTGTCTTTTATGGACATGATAAACACTTTTTGATTAACAGTACAAGGTTTAAAGCCCTCATGTGCAGCTATAATTAGTTCATGGTGATAGAGATAGCTATTCTGAGATTTTGATTTCCTGTTCTAATTAAGCATTTGATTGTTTCCTTGTTGTAGGGGTAAATTGATGTAGGAGGGTGCAGTGGCTCACATCTGTATTCCCAGCAACTTGGAAGACTGAGGCAAGAGGATTGCAAAATCAAAATAAAAAATAAAAAGCCTGGGGATTAGCTGGGCACAGAGGTGCACACCTTTAATCCCAGCAACTTGGGAGGCTGAGGCAGGAGAATTGCAAGTTCATAGCCAGCCTCAGTGGCTTAGCGAGGCCCTAAGCAATTTTGTGAGACTCTGTCTCAAAATAAAAAATGGGCTGGGGATGTGGCTTAGTGGAGGACACCACTATTCAATCCTTAGTGCCACCAAAAAAAAAAAAAAAAAAAAAAAATTGACATTAAAAAGTAGCTATGGCTATTTTGGGTAACCAGCAATAATAAAGCATTATAGAATACACGTTGTATTTTAAGTAAAGGCATATGTTCATATTTTTGACTTATTTATAAACCAGTGTAGATGTTTGTTTTATGACCAAGTGTGAGATCACATTGTCTGCATTTTTCTAATTTGGGATTGGGCATGTAATATGGGCTCAGTAAATTCTGAAAGAGTAATGGAAAAAAGTTACGTTTGTCTGTTGTCTCATAATGTAATAATTATTGTCATACCTTTCGGAAAAAACTATTTCTTTATGGTGGGAATGTGTATTTAAGCTTTGTAAAAAGACTGGCTTGTTTTAAATTTCAGCTGCTGCATTTTTCCTCACCTATGAATATGTGAAATGGTGTTTGTACACTGATTCATCTTCGTATTTGATGCCTGTGAAGCACATGTTGGCTGCCTCTGCTGGAGAAGTGGTGAGTTGCAAGTTAGTATGTGATAGACTTCAGAAATATAAATCATGCATACTTTTTTTTTGGTACAAATTTCTTTTTTTAAAATTTATTTTCAAATGATACAAAAAAAGGAAAAATTGTGCCTGTTTAGGGGATACCATGTAACATTTCAATATATGTATATGCTGTCTAATGTTTAAATACTTCTTGACATTTTTAATTTTTTTATGGTGGTATTTATTTCTCTTAAATAATTTTTTTTTTTTTTTTTAATTATGAAAGGAAGAGCTGGGGTTGTGGCTCAGTGGTAGAGCACTTGCCTGGCATGCGTGAGGCACTGGGTTTGATCCTCAGCACCACATAAAAATAAAAACGAAGGTATTGTGTCCACCTACAACTAAAAAATTATAAATAAATATTTTTAAAAAATAAAATTATGAAAGGCATAAATCACAATAAATGTAGGTGAATCATACATGTCAGTTAAAAGATAGTCTTGGGGATGAAAGAAAAATTCAGCTGTTCTAAAACAAGAGAGAGAGTTCTAAAATAATGACACACAAAACATTAAATGAAAGAAATGGAAGAACCCTTTCACCTGTAGGTTGTGTTGGTTTTGTATTATGTCAGCATAACTGAGTTGGAACTGTTTTTCCCAAAATTCCTAGTTATGGGTCAGGTCAGCCACAGAGAAATTTGCAGAAGGTTCGTAAAGGAAGTTAAGCAGCAGCTGCATTTATGCTCAGAAGGTGGGCTTAGGGTTGGGCACTGTTGCAGCATCTCTCTGTCCCTGATCTCTGCTGGCTTACTGTCTTGGCCTCTGGCTAACAGTTCTCCAGCTCCCATCTTTCCCTGTAGCTTCTCCAGATTGTGGGTCAAGTGTCTGAGCCCTGCAGGGCAGGATGCTAGCTTAAATGTGGTTTATCTCATAGGTTAGTGAGAAATAGATGGGAATTAAGATTTGTTTTTTTCCTCACTTTACTAAATTTAGGGAATACTGATGAAATAGAGTTGTGTTATGTTAATACTGGGCAAAAAGAATTTAAGGCACCAGAGAGTCTAGAACATAATGACTCAAGGAACAATTCTGGGAGATGTAACAAGCCTGAACTATATGAATAACATAGTCCAGAACATATGAAGCAAAACCAGACAAGATGATAAGAAAAATAAACAGCAGCATAGTCTTACTTGGAGATAGTCACATCTCTGAAAGCATTCAGACTAGGCAGATGTAAACTTACTCAGGATGTAGAAGATGTGAACAACACAATGAATTGGTCTAATGGATTTATATAGGACTTCACCTCAACAGTTAAGAAATACATATTTCAAGCATACTTGGAAAGTTAACAAAAATGGACACCCCATTCCACAGGCGAGCTTCAACAAGTACAGTAGAGACAACGTTGTACATATGGTTTGACAACCGACTATAATGAAAACGAATGCCAGGTTGTCATTACCATGAGTTTAGAAAACAAACCCTTTTTTAAATAATTCATGAGATAAAGAAAAACTCATAATGTGAATGGAAAAATGTCTTATACCCAAAGCGTACACAGTTATGGTTTAAAATAGACAAACCAGGGCTTGGGTGGCGGCTCAGTGGTAGAGTGCTTGCCTAGCATGTGTGGGGCACTGAGTTCAATTCTCAGCACCGCATATTAATAAACAAAGTCCATTGACAACTAAAAAATAAAAAATAAGAAAAATAAAATAGACAAACCAAATCTAATTCAGAGGAACACTAATAAAAACTAAACTATCTTCACTCTTCTCATTAATATACCTTTCTCTATCCTTTCTCCCCAATATAAGGGAGAATTTCTCCCTAATTTCTACTAACATTATTTTTGTTAGCTAGAAATTGTCTATTCTCTACTAGTGTTATTTTCCCCCCTTATTTCCCGCCCCCTTTTTTTTTAAATTGATTTTGGTCATACCAGTAGAAGTGCTCTACCACTGAGTTACATCCCCAGACCTTTAAAATTTTTTTAAAATTTTGGGACAGGCTGTCACTAAATTACTCAGGCTAGCCTCAAATTTACGATTCTCCTCCCTCAGCCTCCAAGTAGTTGGAATTATAGGCCTGGGTCACCACTTCTGGCCTGCAGCATTGTGATAGGCAGAGTGTGAACAGGAATGGACTACACAGTAAAGGAAAGGGTCCTTAATTGAACACCACCTTTTTTCCTCATAATGGTATATGTTTACATTAGAAAACTTGGAAAATGAATCAGCAAATATAAATAATAAGTAACATTTACATAAAAACAATATATATATATATAAAACAATTGCAATATATTGTGGTTTTGTTTTCTATGCACTTTTTCTGCCTTAGCAAATTTGACTGAGAATCTAAATTGTTTTGTAATCTGCTATTCTTTGCTTACAAATATGGTAAATTAGGGTAAGGAAAAGGGAGATCTTAACAGAGAAATAAAATAAATACTAACTTTAAGAAGATAGTTTTAGCCGGGTGCAGTGGTGCATGTCTGTAATCCTAGCCGCTGGGGAGGCTGAGGCAGGAGGATCTTGAGTTCAAGGCCAGCCTCAGCAACTTCGTGAGGCCCTAAGCAACTCAGTGAGACCTTGTCTCTAAATAAAATGCAAAATTTTTATAGGGCTGGGGATGTGGCTCTGAGTTCAATCCTTGGTGCCAAAAAAAAAAAAAAAGATAATTTCAAAAACAGCTTTATTGAGATATAATTTATACATCACACAATTCATTCCTTTAAAGTACACAATTTAGTGGTTTTTCGTATGTTCGTAGGGATGTGCCATCATCGTGAGAGTCAATTTTCAAATATTTTTATCACCCCCAAAAGAAAACCCGTGTCTAGTATTAGTCATTCTGTGTTGTACTCCAGGTCCTGCCCCTCCAGACGACCACTTGGCTACTTTTTGTCTGCATGGCTTGGTCTGTTTTAGACATTTCATATAAATGCAATCCTGTTACTTGTCTTTGAGATTTTTTTTCCCTATTAAAGTAGTTTTCCAGATTCATCCATGTTGTAGCATATATCAGCACTTTATTTCCTTTTTTGCCAGATATTTCATTGCATGGATTTTTAAATCTTACTTATCTGCTCATCGGTTGATGAACATTTGGGTTATTTGCAATTTGGGGCCATTATGAATAATGTAGTTATCAATGTTCATGTACAACTTTTTGTGTGGACATATGTTTTTATTTGTCTTGGTATATAATTAGAATTATGGCCAGATGGTAACATTAACCTTTTCGGGAGTTGACCAGACTGTTTTGTAAAGTGACCTACGTTTTATATTTTATATTCTCATCAACAACAGTGAGGTTTCCATTGTTATCTGTCTTTAATTATAGCTATCTAGTAATTATTCATTGGTATCTTATTGTGATTTTGATTTGCATTTTCCTAATGGCTAACAGTTTTGAGAATTTTTTTCCTTTTTAATTTTGTTTTTTAGTTATAGATGGACACGTACCTTTATTTTATTTTATTTATTTTTATGTGGTGCTGAGGATCAAACCCAGTGCCTCAAGTGTTAGGCAAGTGCTCTACCACTGAGCCACAACCCCAGCCCCTTGAACATTTCTTGTGTGCTTGGAGAACTGCTTATTCAGATCTCTACTTCTTTTAAATTGTAGTTTTTTTTGTGTGTGTGTGGGTGTGTTGTTATCAAGTTATAGTTCTTCATGTATTCTAGACACAAGTCTCTCATCAGAGGTATGGTTTACAAAATTTTCCCCCCATTTTATTTATTGTCTTTCTACTTTCTTAATAGTGTGCTCTGAAGCACAAGTTTTTAATATTTTTTTTAGTTGTTGATGGACTTTTTATTTTATTCATTTATCTGTATGTTGTGCTGAGAATCGAACCCAGTGCCTCACTCCACCACTGAGCCACAACCCCAACCCCAAGTTTTTAATTTTGATGATGTCCATTGTATGTTAATGTTGTTTGTAATTTTGGTATCATATCTAAGAAATTTTGCCTGATCGAAGGTGATGAAGATAATACACCCGTGCTTTATTGTAAGAGTTTTATAGTTTTATGTCTTTATAGTTTTCTGTTTTGTTTTGAGTTAATTTTTGTATATGGTAGAAGAAGTGCTCTAACTTTATTCTTTTGCTTGTGAATATCTACTTGTCCTATCTGTATCTTTTTTGAAAAGGCTGTTTTACCCCACCCCCACTCCTACATAGAACGACCTTGGCACTCACATCAAAAATGAATTGAGGCGGGATGTAGTGGCACATGCCTGAAATCTAGCAACTTGGAAGGCTAAAGTAGGAGGATCACAAGTTTGAGGCCAGCCTAGTAAGTTTAGCAAGATCCTGGCTCAAAAAACAAAATAGGAGCCTGGTACGGTGGTATACACCTATAATATCAATGGCTCGGAAGGCTGAGGCAGGAGGATAGCAGTTCAAAACCAGCCTCAGCAAAAGCAACTCAGTGAGACCCTGTCTCTAAACAAAATACAAAAAATGCAAAATAGGGCTAAGGATGTGGCTCAGTGGTCAAGCGCCCCTGAGTTCAATCCCTGGTACTGCAAAAAAACAAAAAGCAAAATAGGGCTGGGGATGTAGCTCAGTGGCAGAGCACTTACCTAATATGTGCAATCCCCAATTCCTAGTACCAGCCCCCCAACCTTACAAAAAAAGAGTTCTGAATTCTCAGTTCTATTCCATTGCCGTATGTCTGTCTTTACACCAGTACCATGTCATCTTGACTATGTAAGTAAGTATGGAAATCAACACGAGTTCTTCATGTCTGTTCTTTTCAGTATTATTAGTATTCTTTGGAGGGGGGAACTTTGTCTGTCCATGTGAATTTTAGAAGCAAACATGGTAGAATTCTGAGAGGCATTACTTTGAATCTGTAAGTTAGTTTGGGGAATATTGCTATCTTGAACAGTGTTAAGTTTTTCAATCCATATACGTGTTTGTCTTTCCAGTTTCTTTCAACACTGTTTAGTCCTTTTTTTTTAGAGAGAGAGAGAATTTTAATATTTATTTTTAGTTTTCGGCG